CAGGTGGTGGAGGTGGCGGAGGTGCCAGGGAGCCGCAGGGCAGGGGCTGCTGGGGCAGGCAGGGCAGCGAGCCCTTGCGGAGCTCAGCATTCGTGCTGACCCTACCCCACCTCCAGCTCTGCCCTGGTCTCTCTGGAGCCCGCGCTCTCCAGGGCCGCTGCTCCCCTGCAGCATGGAGCTGCCGCCTTCACCTTGAGGCCGCACTGCTCTGCCTCCTCACATGGGAAACCGGAGAAACCCGGCCACACACCGGCTGGGCGGAGGCGTCTTATTTTGGGAAAACTATTTGTCAAGATTGACAGGCCTGGGCGAGGCTGCTTTGTGGGTGATGGAAGTGCTCTAAAATTAGACCCTGGAGAATGCAGGCAGGCTGGGTGGCTGTCCCGGCGCTCACCGGTCTCACACTTCCCACAGGTGACAGGTGTGTGAGTAACCGCTCAGTAAGGCCGTGGTGGAAAATGAAAGACGGGGATCCCCCTGCCCACGGATAAACCGGAGGCTCCTCTCCGGCGCAGGCCGCCAGTGTGTGGCCGTGCATATCTCGGGAAGAGCGGCCGAGGCCGTGTTGTGTGCAGCCGTGCGAGCCTGAGTGGGCCGAGGGCGGCGTTGGCAGTCTTCAGAGGCACTGTGCCGGGGTGTGGGAAAACTGGGGGAAATCTTGGGGTTTTATGTGGCAGGATTTTTGCTTCTGAGCTAGTCCTTCTCGTGGTTCCGAAGGAAAGTTCTTTGCATTCTGATCACAGACGCTCCAGGTATATCCGAGTTCAACTCGTGATCGTAATACAAGCGTGGGTGACAAGCCCGGCTGATCCTCCGCGGGTTGGAGCCGTCGCCCCCAGCCTGGCCGAGCAGCCCCGCGCGCTGCATGTCCCTCTTCTCCTCTCAGCCCGGCTTCCCCGGATGCATTCGCTCCGAGTTCAGGGTCGATTACCCTACGTCTCTGCTTTGAAGTCCCGAGCTCCCTTTGCTTGTGTGTAGACACAAAGCGCAGTATCAAAGCACACTGTCATTTGGGGCAAAAAATACAAAACAAAACAGCTCCAACTCTTCTTCCCAGGTTGTTTCCATCTCTGAAGGAGCTGATTTCGCACACCTTGCAGCCCTGGGCAGTGAGACTGCAGCTTTACCTCGTTGTCTGAAGCCCAGGGCTCCGGGTGACCGTCAGGAGGGGGACAGGCTCTGTACTCTGCCGTGGCTCCGAGCCACGAGCCTGCCTCCTGGTCTCCCGGAGGGTCCTCACCCAGGGATGCAAGTGGTGACACCGTGGGCCAAATGCCCTTGTGCTGTGCTACAGCTGCACGCACGGGCTAGGACAGGACGCATCGCAGGACAAGTCTTGAACAGAAAAGAAAGAAACCGTGTGGCACCACCCTGGTCCTTGGGAATCGCAAGGCAAACTCTGCCGTTGTTCCATTAATTTTTCATATGCGGGAATCATTGAGCGTGGCCGGGGGAGGGAGGACTCCAGTCTCTCACTGCACCATCCCGGAGGCGTCGCAAGGGTTTCGAAGTTCTGGAACTGACTGTAGAGTGCGAGCTAATAAGGGGTGGGAGGGGTCCCCACCCTTGAAGCAGTGACCCAGCAGCCCCTTCGCGCACTGGTCCCTGGGCAGCCAGCGCAGGGCTTTCCTTTTCAACTCAGGGCAACCAGGAAGCAGGGGGAGTTGGGGAGAGCAGGGAGAGGTGTCCCCTTGCGAGGGCCAGCCCAGGGACCAAGCCCTCCAGCGCAGCCCCGCCTCAGCCGCCCGTTCAGCGGTGGACTCCGGGCTGACAGATCCACCGTTGCCCTGACTGCATTGGACGTCGTGGCACTGGGGGCCCAGCTCGGTGCCCAAGTCTCCGGGGGGCGATTCCTGCTGAAACAAACCATAGCAATGTGCAGCCGTGGGTGCGGCGCGCAGGCTGGGACTCTGGGGAAGAGAGGGTTCTCCGGCTCGTCTTGGTGAGCCGAGGTTTCTGCACGTCCTCTGAGCAGCTGAGATCGGACTGCGGCGAGTGTGTGCAGGGCCACGTGGTCGTGGGAAGGTCTGGCATTAAATAACTAACGAGTGATGCCTACAACTCGGATTAGGGAATTTGGGGGCCCTTTCCCCTTTCCCTGGAAGGGACCAGGACTGTAATTAAGGGCTCCGATCTAGAAAGCAGGTGCTGCTAACGTGATCGTCAAAGAGGAATCTGCCTGCCCTTGCCAGCCTGGGCCTCCTGTGTGGGCGCAAGGCTTTGATAGCACTGACCACTGGGCCATCCTGCCCTGACTGGGAGCAGGCCACAGACCAGAGCTAATAACCTTCAGAGGAAGCCAAGCCAGTACAATGATGAACCTGCTGGTCATGTCTGGGAGTTGGTTCCCTAGCTCTTGGCAAGGCGTCATTGTTGGCTTCTGAATGGTGGATGGACATTCACACCTGGCCCGCCAGGCTGCAGGAACTCCTTCTTTGTTTTCTCTCCTTTAGCACTTGGGATTGAACTCAGGGTTTTCACACAGAGCTACATCCCTAACCCTTTGTTTATTTTTTATTTTGACACAGGGTCTCGCTGAGTCACTGAGTTGCCCCAGCTGAGCTCCAACTCGCTACCTGCCTGCCTCAGCCTCCCAGAGTGCTGGGATAACGGACATATGCTACCACGTGCAGCTAGAAATTACCAATTAATGCCACAGTCACTGGTGAGTTCTCTGCTACCTTTTGTGTTTCCGCTTGATTTTCTGAGTACAGTCATATTTCAGATTACAGGCTGAGGATTCCTCATCCTAAAGTTCAGAATCTCAATTGCTTCAAAATTTGGTACTTTCTGGGCCCCAATATGCAGCCCCAAGTGGAAAATTTCACTCTGTGGGCCTTCACACTGAGCTATATCCCCAGCCCTTTTCACTTTTTGTTTTGAGACCAGGTCATGCTAAGTTGCCTAGCTTGAGCTTTCACTCCTACCTCAGCCTCCCAGAGTGCTAGGACTGCAGCCACCACGCCCGGCTCACTTCTGCCCTTGGCAAGAGGAGCATTTCTGAGAAGTAGCCGGTCCCGGGCCTGGCGGCTGGGGTCCTGCCTCTGCTCCGAGGGGAAGGGAATGTGAGGTGCGGAGGACTGTGCCCATGTGTGTCCAGAGTCCTGCAGAAGGCGCACGGGACCTTTGGCCTCGCCTTGGGACTTCTAGGGGTAGGCAGTGAATAATCAGAAATGTGGGCAAGACTTTATGCCCAGAAGCATTTGTTTGATCGTTATTTATGTGATGTGGATTTTGCAAACTATCGGAAAGTGTCTAGGGCAGTAGTTTTAGTATGAAAAGAACGGTATTTACTAAGGCTTAAAAATCACTTCTAATCCTGTTAATTGCAGAGGGCGAAGCCGCCGGGAGCAGAACACAGGATAGTTTACACAATCCGATTTCCACAGTGTCTGCTTGTGTCTGAAAAACAGGCAAAGATCACACATACACTGTTAGCCCTCTGTCAACAAATCTGGCCGCTCTTATGTCCGCTCTGTGTGCCCAGTATTGTTTTACACTTGTATCTCCTATATTGGTTTAAGAAAAGATGAGAAAAGGGTTCCCGTTAGGAGGTGAAGAGCAGACTGGCAGGTGGTGTTTGAGAGAAGCTGCAGGAGTCCCTGGGTGGCCACGGATGGGGAGACACTGGTGAACGGGGGACTCTGAGAGCTTCCTCCTTCCCAGCTAGCCCCGCTCCTTGCTCAGCACCTCGGCGCAGGTCCTTCGTGGGGTCTCCTGCCTCGGGACATCAGTCCCCCAACAGTTGCTCCCGCCTTCCTCCTCAGACGCTGGCTCTGTTGTCAGCTTTGGGTCACTATCGCAGATGCCTGCGGTGATGACCTTGAAGGAAGAGTGTTTTGCGACTCACAGTCTCAGAGGTTTCAGTCCCTGGTCCCTTGGGCTGCATGCTTTGTCCATGTGGTGCCACTGTGCATCACGGCAGAGGGGCCTGCTCTCCTCAAGGCAGCCAGGAAGCGAAAGAGGTAAGGGGTGGGGTCTCCAGCCTTCACACGGGGCCCTTGGGGACTCTAGACCCAGCCTGCAGCCCAGAGACCCTTCACCATTTCCGTGTCCACTGGGGGGCACTGGCTGGATAAGAGCCTCGGGGTACCGCTCAGGGGCTCTGCGTGAGTGTGAAGTGCTTAGCCCACAGAGATCTCATTGTTGAACTAGAGAGTTCCAAAGACCTGCATGAAAACGCAGTAATACGTGAATATGATTAGGATTCCCACTTGAAAGTCAGGAGCATCCGTAGCCCCCGTGATTCGCATGTGGCATACGTGTTCTACGAACACCGCAAACATTTTACACCTGTGTACGTAATAGTTTATTGGTTTTTGTTTTTGCTGAAAAGACATGCAGGAAATCAATCATATAATCCCCTCGGTATAAGAGTAGAGGGAAGTTTGAGTTTTTACTTCATTTTTTTCTAAACACCTTCAGATTTTAATACTAGGAAGTACTCCATTATGATTAAGAAATAAAAAGAAAACTATTTCTTTGGGAGGCTTGTGACAGCCCCTTTCCTAGGGTGAGCCGGTGCTCAGCTCCGCTGCAGACTGGGGGGGAGTCAGCATGGACCCCATCTCACCTGAGCCTGCAAGTCTCCGGGTACAGCAGCACCTTGTGGTGAATATCTGGGCCACGAAGCATTCATCATGCCCATGCCCTGCTGCTGTGGCACCTTAGAGAAACCGCTGCGCTCTTTGGAGTTTCTTGGGCTGTTTGGGTGATTGAGTGCTATGTTAATCAGCTTCCTCCCGCTGAGACACAGTACCCAACCCCACAGCTGAAAGGAGGAGAGGGCTAACGTGGCTCACGGTTTCAGGGCATTCAGCCCAGGGAGCCAGCTGGCTCCAAGGCAGGACCATCGAGGCAGAAGGGCCCGAAGGGACAAAGCTGCTTAGTTCATGGTGTCTGGGAAGCAAGCAGGGTGACAGCGCCAGAGAGCAAGGAGCAGGGACCAGGGATAGTCCAATGTGAAGATCTAGTGACCACCCAAGACACCCAGAAGTGTGCTAGTCCCCTAGGCAGCTCCCAAGCCAATCACGTTGACACAGTCCACTTAGCCGTCAGGAAGGAAGGATCCGGGGCTGTACCGCCAGGCTGCCTGTACCCTATAACCCCCAGACAGCCCCAACCCCCTAGTCATGGTAGGCATAAAGGAAGCCAACCTTCCTGTGCCTCTGTGCCTTCCCCTGTGAAATGGGAGCCCAGCCTGGGTGAGCAGGTGGGGCTGTGGCCAGCGCACAAGGATAGATACTGGATGCGTTGGGCACCAGAGCTTCCCGTGGGGTGGGGGTGCTCATGTCAGCTGTGGACAGTCCCGTTTCTGATGCTTCAACCTCAGGATATTTGCACCTACAGTCACGAGAGGGGTACACATGCAGTAGAAACCATGCTTTGAAGTGTGAGCTTGGATCCCTCCCTGGGCTGCTGCCAGGCTGTCTGATGCTGCCCTGTGACCCTGGGCAGTGACAGCGAACCGCAGCACCCTGTCAGCCCCTGGTTGGGAGGGAAGCCACCAGCTTGCTCCAGTGGATGCTACTCTGAGTGTGACGGTTGGTAGGTTAGGTGTAGCTGATCGCATTCCGTACGCCATTTTCCACATGTGTAGGTTCAGTGGGACTGAACACCACGTTGACAGGTCTGTCCACTGTATTGGTGATGATAATCCCAGAGATGGATAAACAAGGATACAGTTCTACGTGGTAGGTTTTAGAGCATAGCTCATCCTTCTGGCGCAATTCCAGACCTTTCTAGTTACACATGAGTTATAAATATTTCACAGACTTCATTCATCTGTAAGCGGGAGTTGGCACCTTCCCACCACACGTGAGTCACGGCTGGGTTTCGTAAGCATATAAATACTAAAAGCCGTATTTCCCCCACATTCTAATGGGTTTTTCTGTTGGCGAGACTGTGCTTCCAGGCAGATGTTTTTCTAGAATTGTGCCTCTCGGTATTGCCGTCACCTGAAATTTTTCTCTTCTCTCCGATGTCTGGAAAGTCACACTGACCCCTCCCCCCACGTGGAGGGAGCGTTTATAAAGCCGTCCCTGGATGTTTCTGTCCCGTGTAGCAGAAGGTCACGGCTTGGTTACCAGTAGTTGTTATGGAAAGTGTGTGGGCTCATGGAAGAGAAATCATGCAGTATTTCAACATCTGTGTCTGACTTCTTTCACTCGGTGTACAGTCTCCAGCCAGCTGTTCCCCTTCAAGGTATCTTCTGCAGTGATCCATGCACACTCAGATTTATAGCAGCGCTGCTCGCCATAGCTAAATCTTGGAAGCAGCCTATGTGTCCGTCAGTGGTGGATGGATAGAGAAAATGTGTTTACACACAATGGAGCACTACTCTGTCATAAAGAGGGACAAACCCGAGTCATCTGTAGGAAAATGGATACACGTTGAGACCGTAATGTTCAGTGAAATAAATCAGATGCACAAACTTAAATATCTCATGACTTCTCTTGTATGAGAATTCCAAAGTATAACTAAAGAGCAGAATAAAAGATAGTAGCAAGGAGGGAGTTCTTTTCCACAGGGAGAGTGAGGAGAAGGGAAAAAATAACCAAATGAAAACGTGGAACTAGAACTTTTGTACATGGAGGACGACCAGGAGCTGGAAGAAAGGAGAGAAGTGGGAGGGACGGGGTGAGAGCAGAGCTACGGTGCGTCACATCCACGCACAAAGTCCCCCGACATGCACTCATCGTGTACTGCGAACATGGATACTGAAAAACAACAAGTAAGGAAATAAAAGTGAAGAAGAAGTAAGGAGAAATGGAAGGGGCCAGAGGGCCAGGGTACTGAGAGACAGAGTGGATGGAGAGGGAGGCAGCAGGGCTGGGGGCGTGTGCGGACACCAGCCTCAGGAAGGGGTCTGGTGGAGTCCGCAGGCTGCACGGAAGGTGCACTGTTTCCACTCGTTGCCTGAGCTGAGCTGTTGGCCGCCGTTCCTTTTGAACCACTGTTCACAGAGAACCATTTAGGCCACAAGACAGGAGTAAGTTTCCTTCTAGCTCTTCTGCACCTTGTCAGAATTGGTTTCCCTGTTGGCTTAATTCGAACTGTCTCTCGGACTGTCATTGACAGCTAGAGAAGTAAATGGGGAGGAAGGAAGGAGGAGGGCACCGGGGAGGAGCCAGGCAGCACCATGCTGGGGAGTGTGACAGCCCTGACCCTTGTTGCCTTCCTTTAGGACAAAGTGGAGCCTGCGCCCCAGAGTCCCGGAGACCTGGTGCCGCCTCGCCTCCCAGTGAAGAAGTCCAAACAACGCCCAGGTAAGGACCCGCAGGAACCCCGCGGCAGCGGCTGTGCTGGGACGTACCATCCTCAGCGTCACGGGCACGGGTCTGAGGTCGGCCACAGGTACCAGATCCCAGGACATCCGTGCCCATGCGGGGCGCTGTGGTGTGCACCCTCCTTGCCCTCAGTTGTCCTGTGCACTTGGAACCAGTGCTTGCGGGCGTTCATACCTGGTGTGACACAATGCTATGCACACGGGAGTGAGAGCAAGAAAACCGTGCTGCGTGTTCAATATGTGTGTTCTTTGCAAGAGTTTTTGGTTTGTGGTTGGTTAAGCCCGTGAATATGGGCCGCGGGGTAGGGACGAGAAGCTGTGCATCCTAGGAAGTTGTTCTGGACGCTCAGAGAGGAAGATTCTGATGTTGAGTCTTCCTTTCCCCTTAAGGAAAAACAAGCAGTTAATTCACTAGATATAAGCAGAGTATGTATTACATTTTCCCACTCGTTATAGGACAGGACAAATAACAACAAAGCTCCTACAAGGCCAGTGCTAGGAAGCAGCCTTCTTAATCTGCTAGAAACTCACTTGTCAGAACCCTGCAGGACACGTCCCAAGCTGGAGAGACAGAGTTGTGCCCTGGAAAATCTAGACTTAGACGTGGGTACCTGCTGTGCCGAGAGAGCTTAGCAGCACAATAGAGGAAGCAGGTAAAGGAGCAGAAACTGGAAAGAAGAAATGCAATCTGCCTCTCTCTGCAGATAATATAATTATTCCAAAAGTGAGGCTGTACAGATACGCAGACAAAACTTTGAAAAGGGTAAGAGCTCTCAAGTGAGCAGCCCCAGAGTGAGGACAACGTATAAAATTTAATAGTATTTTTAGACCTAGTAGGAAACAAGAAGGGTAATGTAAAACAGACATCTCATCTGTAATAGTAACACAAATTATAAGGTGTCTAGAAATAAAGACAAGAGTACCAGATACGACAGCATGCTGCTGAAGGACGTAGCATACCTGTAATCCCAGCACTCTGGGAGGCTGAGGCAGGAGGATCGCAGGTTCAAGCCCAGCCTGGGCAACTTAGTGGCCTATGAGACCCTATCTCAGAAGAAAAAGGAAGACTGAGGGTATAGCTCAGTGTGAGGGCTCCAGATTCAATCCCCAGTGCTGTGAAACGCAGGACTTCCAGTCCTGACAAAGCAGAAGGCCATTCTGCGGCCCTGGGTGAGAAGGTGGAGGATAACGATGATGTCACATCGCCCAAGACTTTGCAGTTCGGTGCTGACGCACCTGGGTTCCCCGCAGAGTTTCCATGTGACTTGACAAGTGCTTCCCAACTTGGGCAAGGAGGCGCTGAGCTTGGGACCTGCCAAGGGAAGCAAGCAAGCTGTGTGGCGGGCAAGCTCAGGTCAGGCATCAGGACTTCTAGGAGGAAGAGGGAAGGGTAGGTTCCTTTGAGGCGGACTGTAAATGGGGCCCAGGACCAGAGGGGAGCCCCAGAGAGACGCAGATTGGCGGACAGGAGCCGTCGCGGAACAGGGGTCCCGGGCCCCAGGGCTGACCAAGTGGGCTGGGGCCCCGCTGCACCCCGAGCTCAGTAGTCAGGTTGGGGTTCATTCAGTAACTGAAAGTGAAAACCCTACATGCCTTAGATTTGCTTGAGGAATTAGTGACTAGTGAGAGTTCTCTTGCCATCAGACTAAGATAGAATTTCCTGATAAGATACAGCACACTCACAGAGGAAAGTTGATCAGATTGTGTACATGAGTGTACATTTATCCGCAAGGACACCCAGTGGGTGTTTCTCCCCTGATGATGGAGAGTGAACCCAAGGCCTTTACACTGAGCCACACCCTCTGTCTCTCTTTTATTTTGAGGCAGGATCTCTCTAAGTCACTAAGTTATGTGGCCTCACTCAGACTTGCAGTCCTTCTGCCTCAGCCTCCCAGAACGCTGAGATTACAAGTGTGCACCACCATGCCCAACCCAGATGATATTCAAAAAACCCTAAAAGGCACACTTCAGCCCAGGCAAAAAAAATCTCAATGTGTGTAGCATGCATGCTGTTAGTATCCTCTGTCAAAAAAAAATCCTACAGACAGAATAAGAAGTCAGATGGAGAAGCTTCCAGGAGTGCGCAGGAGCCGCACAGCACCCCCTCCCTCTGGAGCCGCCTTCCCAGGAGAAGCCGGAAAGAGATGGAGCTGGAGGCTGAGAAGGTCCAGGGCTCCAAGGGCTGTTTCGGGGGACCCAGGGCAGAGTCCGCTTTCACATGTAGCTGATGGCGCAGCTCATCCCTTGCTGGCTCACACTCAGCTCTGGGCGTCCATGCTGAGTGGACACAGGGTCTCCTGAACCCTCTGGTGGGAAGGTGGCGTGCGGTCCCCGGGCCCGCGCAGAGCGTGGTTTGTGGGAGCCTGCGGGGCTTGTGGTCTCTCCCACTTCCTTTCCTGAGCGTGGTGCTCTTCTCCTCCTCCTGCTGCCTCGAAGCACAGGCAGCACGCAGGACTCTAACAGGAGGCGGGGTCACCTGCCCGTGTTCACCCTGGATTGGGTGCTGACTTCCCGGCGGCCATAACCGCAAAGCTTAATCACCTATGCGGACAGAGGCCTTAGGTTTGTGCTCGTGTTTCAGTCCCAGCTGCCATGTAAGGGCAAGGGACCTGATGTTCAGAATAAAAGATTAGCCGTGACTTTCCTTGACCTGTTACTTCTATCTGCTAAAGAGGATTTATTGCTCTTGTTTTATTACCTCATTCCTAGCATAAGCTGCTTATTTTTGTGTGACAGTTGCTAAAAATGCTTCACACGTTTCTTAGCAGCAGCCTGCAGGATGGGAAGTGTTTTCCTTCGAAAGTGGGTGGGTTAGTAAAAGCCGGGAGTACTCTGGAGGATTTCTGTGAACCTCGTTGGGGTAAAATTATTTAAAACAAAACTTATCACTCTAAGCACTTGTAAGTGTACAGTTGGGCGGCGTGCACAGTTTTCACAGCCTCGTGCAACCGTGCCTATTGTCTATTTTGAAAACTCTCTTAGCACCCCAAACAGAGCGTCCGCGCCCACTGAGCAACCCTGCCTGCCCGCAGCCCTGGGTGACGCTGGGTGTGCTCCCTGTGCCCGGAATCTGCTGGCTCCAGGTAGCTCAGTGGAGTCACGCGGCGCAGTCACCTTCCTGCCCCTGGGACGTACCCGACACAGCTTACTGGAGGAGAGCTTTGTTGTGGCTCAGGGTTCCGTCTGCGGGTGCTGGCTCCAGGGCAGAAAGGGCGTGGTAGGAGGGATTGGCAGAGAGAGGTCAGGGCAGCAGGAAGCACAGGGAGGAGGAGGCGGAGCTGGGAAGTTGGAAAGTTCACTCAGTGGTGGGATGGGGGCCAAAGTCACATGCATCCAGCTCCAGGACTTGAAGTTATTTAGGAGAGAAACACAGAGCACGCTTGCAGATAGAAGCTATCAAGAGAAGCGCTGGTCTCCTTTCTCCCGAGAGCATACCTGAGTGTGTGTGCATGTGTGTGTGCGTGCACGCATGTATGTATGTAGTACTGGAACTTGAACGCAAGGCCTTCACGTTGAACTACATCCCCAGCCCTTTTTGCTTTTTATTTTGAGACATAGTCTTGCTCAGTTACTCCGGCTGGCCTCGGACTTACGATCCTTCTACCAGGGTGCTGGGATTGTAGGCACTGCCCACCACACCTGGTGGGATCGTCCACTTCTTGAGGACACTCACCCTGCCTTACTTATCCTGAAGGTCCACTTCAGGCTCTTCCTGGAGTCATGTATCGTAGATACTTGATTCATGAGTTTCTGAACTCACATGTCATAAATAGACCTGTGGTGTCCAGATAGCTCCCGAGTCTGCCTCCCCCCTGCACGTGGGATGTTCTGTTATTTCTAGCAAGCAGAGACAAAACCAGCTAATGCAGCCTTTCTTTTCCTGCTGTGCTGCTCACAGGATATGAGGGGCGAGGTCATCGAGAGAGTACAAAAGGAGACAGTGGGCTCCTCCTCAAAATCCTGTTCTCACAAGATAGCTGAGGTCCATACTCTTGGTGCCCTTCCAGGGTAAGGCAGTACTGGCATCGGCTCACATCAGTAATGGCCTTTGGGGGTGTCGGGCAGCATCGAGGTACAGCAGTCTGTTGGTCTGGTTTCTTTTTCCTCGATTCTTATAGTAGTCTTTTCACTACATAATAAATGCATTCACCCTGGGGGTATTGGTATACAGACGTAGTGCATCTTGATCCTTTCTATGTTCCCTCCTCATTCCTTCCTTTCTGTCTTTCCCATCCCTACACCCCTTCACTTCCTTTCAAAGACCCAACTCTTTGATTCATTGATCCTTTCGACTGTATTGTTTAATCTCCATATGTTTGCATAGTTTCTGTATAGTCTTGTGCTGTTGATTACTGGCTGTGATTCTGTAGTGTGCAGGGATTTTTTCCATTTTGTTCTGTCCTCATGTAAGTATGCTTTATGACCTGTCTTAGTTACTTTTGTTTTCACTGAGACAAAACACCCAGCACCTACAGTTAGAGGAGGGAAGATTTACTTATTTTTGGCTCACAGTTTGTAGTAGTGTCAGTCCCTAATTGGCTGGCTCCAAGGCTGGGTGGCACAGCAGAGGGGCATCACAGAGGTGAAAAAACAGTTCATGGCATGGAAGGCAGAAGGTAGGAGGCAGCAGAAGCAGCAAGCAGCAGGGAGCGTCAGCAGCTGTCTTGCTGTCTCTGATATTCCACCCAGGCTGCATAGCCTTGGATCGGGTAGCACTCACATCCAGGGAGGGTCTTCCTATTATCCACTCTCGGAACTGTGCAAAACCAATCAGTGAACTAACTCAGTATCCACACACCTTAACCCAGCATCACACCGTCTAGATCCAGCTCCTTCTCAAAAGCCCCACCTATGATCACATGAGGCTTTGGGGGGACATCTAGACACAAGCCATGGCACGACCTCAGGTGGTCTATTTTGAAAAAAGTCCTGTGTGTTGTTGAGAAAAAATGTGTATGCTGTTGTTGGATGAAATGCTGT